GGCAGCATTGTTTATAAAGTAAAAAACTGGAATCGATCTAAATGTCCAGCAACAGGAGACATATACGAGTTTAAGACTTTCACAGAGAAAGTTTTTTTTTTCTTTTTCACCACCATCTACCTCCAGAACTTTTTCATCATCCCACACTGAAACTCTTCACAGAGAAAGTTTTAAGTTATAACCTATGAAGTTTCTACTCTCTCTTTACCTAAAACTATTACTTACTTCTTTTATGCATTTACTCGACAGTCATTTTTACTATAATTCCCTCATCTGGTTGGTAGAATTTATTTACTTTAAACTATTTATTGATTTATTTTATTTATTTTTGGCTGCGCTGAGTCTTTGCTGCTGTACCCAGGCTCAGTAGTTGCGATTTGGGCACCATAGTTGTGGTGCATGGGCTTAGTTGCCACAAGGCATGTGGGATTTTCCTGGAGCAGGGATAGAACCCATGTCCCCTGCATTGAAAGGTGGATTCTTAACCACTGGACCACCAGGTAAGTCTCAGTAGTTTATTTTTAATCATTTAGTAAATTAGTGACATTTGTTTTTCAGCTACAGTTAAGGAAATATATTATTGAAAATGCATTATAAAAGCAAAAAAAATAATTTCACATATATTGCAGTTCATAAATGGACAGCAACCTTTATGGATAGATACAACCATGGGTCACACTGCAGGACACCACAGTAGTTAAGAGCACAGGTCTTGGACCCTGGCTCCACCTGCCACAGTTATTATCTGTGTAATACTGTAAAAGCCTTTCTGTGCCTCAGTTTCTTCATTTATAAGGTGAGGATAATGGTATCCATCTCATAGGGTTATTTTTGAGTTACACTGGTTCATACACATAAAGCACTTAGGACAGTGTCTGGTACGTAATCAGTGCTTACTAATGGAGTAGCTGCTAGCATCATTATTATTTTCATCATTCTCACGATTCTGAGTATTATAATAACCATAATAATATTACTCCCCTGAAGTAAAATTTTTTCAGGGAGCAAAATTTGTTAAATCTTGCTTTGCCGAACTGCTGTTTAAAGAAATTTCCCTTCCTCTGTAAGTTGGCTTTGCTTCTAGAACCAATAAACCAATCAGTCTTTGCTCCTTAACAATGGGACCGGCTCCCTCGTGAGGAGTGAACTGCATTGCGGTTACTCTACCGAGGCTGGAAAGCCATTTGCCACACATGTCCCTGCTGTCCTGATTTCTGCACTGAGAGAGGCTGAAAGAGATCCCTCAAAGGTCCCAACCTAATGAATGACCATATGAATCATTCTGAGGTTCCTTTCAAATTCCAAAATTCTCTTGCCTATTCACCAGGTTCTCACATGCAGTGTTAAGCAGCAGTCTTGCCAGGAACGTGCAGTTCACACTCTGAACTGAGGCGGAAACAAATACTGTCACAGAAAAGCAGAAATCTTAAATTTCCTTCTGTGTTCTGAACAATGCATTTCCACAGCAGTGAACCACGTTTGGTGACTCAAGTCTCTCAGCAGTTCCAGAGAGGGAATTGTGCAATTATCGCCTTTTGCTGAGGCAGTACTTACAGTTTGCCAAAAGAGGGGGCATGGGAGCAGAAAGCACGTTTGTCCAAGTCTTAAAAAAAAAAATGTTTGGATTCTGTTTTTCAGTTTTTTATTTCTTTTGCAAGGATTGGATGAAACTAAATGCCAGTTACAGACAATATTTTCTTTTTAAGACTGTCTTAAGACAGAAAGGTCAAAGATTGAAAATAGATGCATAACTTTAAACGATCCCTCTCTATCTTCCCCAGACAAAACATTCACCTTGTGCCTGGCTGCCACACATCAAACAGCTCTAATTAAACTGCTCTCATTAAAAGGAAAGGGAGGAGGAGCTCAGGCCAGCAGTTCTCCTGAGTAGGGAAGCAATCACATATTTAATAAAAGTGCAATTTTCTCTCCTGGCTGCCATGGATTGTTTAAAAAAGAAGGATTCATTGTATATATAATCTAGATCTCACCTTTACTACAACAATGGAGAAGTTATTGAAATAACCAAGTTTAATGAAAGTTAATCATCAGAGTGCTAAGTTGCCCGCTCCCTAAGGCTAAACACTCCTTGGTGCCAAGCAAGAGGAATGATGTAAGCGCCTAGAACCTTTTGCAGAAACAAGTCTTAGATTCACACTCATTAGTCACTAATATTGGGTGAAAGCCTGTGTAAGACAAGGAGGTTTCTATAAGACACACATATCCCTACGAAGTCATTTTTTCAATACAAATTTGATTGCTGCTTTTGTAAAGGCAGCTTTGGCAATTTACCCATTTGTACATATATTTTCAATTTGCAGAAGAATTCTGCAAATTCATGTATTTTTATTTTAAGGAACATATTCAGTCTCTTACTCAAATTACCAAAAAAGTGCTCTGTATCATGTTTAGCCTAAAAATTTAAGAAATACACTTGGAAAATTCACAGAGCTTAAAATTTTCCCCCCAAATTATATATGTTATATAAACTAATTACTTGATAGTTTAACGAAATGGTTTCTTTTATTGCTACTGTCCACTGCATTAAAGCAATATGATATAAAATATTAATCTAAAGAAGAAAGTTAAATATTCTACAGTTCCCTGAGATTTGGTTTAATTTCCATATGCCTCTGAACAATGCTCTAATTCTGCTAACACTTTCTAGACCTGGAAAACATATGACCTTAGATTCAGTTATTAACAGATTTATAACAGAAAAGATATTTATATTATAAAATTCTATAAAATTTTATATTATGAAATTCTTAAAGGACAACCTTTAAAGTTGGATTATTTCCTTAACTAATACAGGAAACAAGATAGGCAGTGGTTTTTTGAAATTTATGGCTTAAATGGTCAGTCCCATGCAACAGCTGGCAATACTGGGTCCTAGGAGGAGAAAATCTGTGAACATAGGAGCAGATTTCACAGGCTACATTTTTTTCCTTTGTTTGGGTCATCATGTGGGAGACAAGATTATTTTCCAAAATGATTAGGCATTTTCATCAATTAGCCAGCTGGAGTATCAATCCTGAAGGAAAAACGTAATAAGTTCTTCTTCTGTGCCAGCTGTCAAAAACTGTCAGAGTTAGTCAAAGCTTTTTACTGTTCCAATCAAATCATAAAATGAGTGGAAAGTCACTGTACAAAACCCATTAAGCTATGTTACTAAATGTCCAATGTTACATAAAAACTATAAATAGCTTTGCACTTTTAGGCCTATTTTTCAATTTGCTTTTCTTGAAGTAGTAATGATGTTCTGCTTCAGTTAATAAAATAATTTTGGAGCTGCCTTAGTGTTTAATCCACATACTCTTTCTGTGTGGAATGAAAGCAAGCAATAATCAAAGCAGAATTATAAGCATTCCCTGACATATCTCTTGCTCACAATTTTAAAAATTAAGAGGACCAAAGATAGCAAAGACGGAAAAAAACTAGTCACTAGGCTTAATAATCTTACAAATTGACATTCCTTTGGGGAATAAAATGCTGTTTCTGGGAAGGGCATCTAGTCTTTTTCAAATATTTGCAAAGGAATTCATACTCTAAAAGGAACATCACTTACTACTGGCTTAAAAATAACAAGCCAGTAGCCAACTCTGAACAAATAAAATGTTCAAAACCTGATTATTGAATTAGTAAGGGTTTGTTTCCACACACTGAACACGGTCTTCACTCTTTTAGTACATGGTTGATCCAAGAGTTGATCTAAGGGCCAAGTGAGAATTCTGATAACTGATATTTGTCCAAAAAAGTAGCTAAAGTAAGCTGAGGACCAGATCCAAACCACTTAATAATGCTGAAATACTTCTCTATTTTTTTTCTTTTTTTTTCTTACAATATGTTAAAAGAAGTTTCTTTCTATACTTTCCTGGTAAGTTCTTCCATACTCGGATGGATCTATTCTGGTGATAGCTTCTAGAAATGCAAGTAATTTCCATGCTAATGAGATTCACTAATTATCAAGAAAGACAAAAAAAGGGTAGGACACATTTGGGAACAGACACCCAAGGCCATTAATCAAGTTCGTATATTTTGCAAGGGTGGAAACAATTTTTTTCATCAAAATGTTTTTGCTTTGTTTTCTATAGGAAAGCTAAGAAGAAAGAACCCAAGAAGGACATGCTAACCATTTGGAATCTGAGTTTTCAAATCTAAAATAAAGAAAATTTGAAAAGTATACTGAAACTGAAATGAAGTAAAGGGTGGCATATGAATTTAGTATCTTTAAGGAAAAATTAAAGACATCTTCAGATACCTTGTCCAGATGAAGCAGAGATTTGGAGGCACTTTGACAGTTTCTTATATTTAAAATAATAATGCCCAGAACCTACTGTGTTAGATTTTTAGTGAAAATAAGCAATAATCTTAAATTTAGTACAGTATTATAGACGAATACTTACTTAAAAAAGATTTAAAATTTACACTACATAAATTTTAAATAGCCATGATATGTGTACCAAGTTTTATTTGCCTTTAAACAATACAAATAGAACAAATATGCCATTCAAAATATTAAATGTTCTTGAGTTGTACAGAAGAAAAAGAAACTGAAGTGAAACTGTAGGAATTGCTGAACTTCAGATAAATGTATCTTCAAAACAAGAGATATTAGTTCCTAAAAGATTTCTCTAAAGTTAAAAAAAGATTAAGAAAAACAATAAGCCACTGGGTTATTATGTCCAAACAAAAACTTACATGTTTCTTAATGGACATGTGTTTACATTTAAAGACAGTAAACTCAGTCTCTTGTCTTATAAAACAGAAGACACCACTGATGTATAAACTAAGTGAAATAATAAAAGCCTCTTTTTCATATTAGACACTTTTAAAACCTAAATCTACCTTAGCATTATTTTCCATGAAAACTTAATAGGGAATGGCTAATCTGAAAGCAAAATGTTCAACAAATCACTTAAAAAAAAAAAGAAACACATCATGGGATTTTGCTTATAGCTAGCCACATCAACTAAAGCCCCAGACAATCACACACGAACTCAGAGTATCAGCCGGTCCTCTCCTCCCTCCTGAATTACCTGACCAATGGAAGTTTGGCTTTGTTGTTTCAGAAAGCACTGTTTCTTACATTCCATCAATTGTTCAAAATCATGCCACATTTTTGCTTGTTTCATATTTGGACCATGACTTTCTCGTACAGCTTTTTGTTTTTCCCGGAGTTTCTAGCATAAAAAAAAATAAAGAATAATTAAATATCATATAGGGATTTACTTCTACTGCTCTAATCAGAAGAATATGGTATGCTTTGTACATCTGATAAGTAATAGCTAAACCAGATGATATATGAAAGCTAAGATGATAAAAGTTAATTAAATTTATGATAGATCTAAGACAACCTGAAGCTAAAAAGGACAGAAAAATAGAAAAGAAGGGGGAAATAAAGGAAATCAGGAAAGTGGAGCAGTATCATGGTATATAAAAAAATGCATATTTTGGAAGTCAGAAGACTTGAGTCCCAACCCTGGCATTGTCACTAGCCATAAGGAAGACAATTTCTCTGGACTGTAGTTTTTTCAATTGTCAACTAAGGTTAATAATAGGAGTAATTATAAAAGTATCTGCTTTATAATACTATTTTTTTCACATGATAATAGATATAGAAATAATTACAAACTATCATGTGTTATATATGTTATTATTATTAAATATTACATTCTTTCCTGAATCAATATACTCTAAGGGTATGTTCTATGCCCAAATAAATCAAATTGTATGCAAATATTCTTCAAGGAGAAGGTCCAGTGATATTTTAAAAAGGCTCAGATCCTTATCAGAATTATTTTTGTTACTAATAGCCTATAAATATAGTTCCACCTTCCAATACTGTTCTACTTACTGACTAAAATTATAAACAGGAATGGGAACATTTTTCAGTAAACTGTGAACTGTTCTTTGGCTCTGTATTATGGCAAATCAAGGAAGAGTGACAAAGAAAAGATCGCACAAAATCAGAGAGACATGAGAGGAAAGCAAAGAAGGAACGAAAGAAGAGAAAAACAGAGATGACAGGACACACATAAGGAAGCACAGAGTAACAGAAATACACTCACTGACACAGAGTGTGAGAAATCACCAAGAAGGGCAGAAAAACAAGCAAAGACACAAACAGATTACACGGGAACATCCCCATCTTTTCCTCTTTTAGTATGCAGGGTTGATCTAACAGTTGATCTAAGGACACAAGTGAGAAGGCCGGTGGTCGGTACTTGCCCAAATAAGAGGCTAAACTAAACTGAGGCCAGATTCAAAATGCTTATTAAAGACTGCCCTTCTCACCTATGGCTAAGAAAAGCAAAGTTAACAGCAGATAGCAAAACAAAACAGAATGAAGAAAATATAATTTAAATATAAACAGCAAATTTTTGACACAATGCCTGGCATGCAAATACATCTATTTAAGTCTATGTTACAAATAAAGTATCTTACAACAAATATTTTTATCCTCATAAACTAAAACAAAAGTAGTAAGTCAGATCAAGAGTTTTAAGAGTACTGAACATGATTTTAAGATTAAGGTACTACTTAACTGTAACTTTTCTTATATTATTGGAATAATTCCTTTTTCAAAAATCCTAACAACCTATAAAAGGTATTTAAAGAACCAAAGACAGGATGTGGGCATTGTATCAGAAATATTAAATTTAATTTGCTTCATAACCACATGTGTTTGAAACCTTTAACTTTATGAATACAACTGACTTTATAATTTATTTTTAATGTTACTGTCATGTACTACAGATTTATGGATAGTTGCAATGCACAAAAAATACTTGTCATAGATTTCATTGTTCTTAAAAGGAGGAGGTGGTACAGGAGGGGGAAAGTTACAACTTTGAGTATCATGTTCCACAGCACTTGGTAAGGCAAAGTCTAGTATATGATAGTGTGAATTGTAGCACTATAGCTTGGTCTAATTTCAGAAACTCAGGCTGGCCTGAGGAGGTCTGTGGATGTCCAGTCTCCTGGTTTGGAAGACTTACGCTGTTGTCAGTTTGAAAGCCTAGGTATATTCTGTGTTTGCTTTGAATATTTAGATCTATTCTAAGAGTGAGAGGATCAAGAAGCTTTGTTTCTTAAGTGATACAGCCCGACAATCAGGGCATGAGCTAATCAATTTTGCTCAAACAGGCTTGATGTCAGACCATTGCTACTGCTTTCCCCTCAAATCTTGCAATATAATAAAACACTACACTGGGAGGGGAAAGAATAATCATATTTAGCCATTAAGTTTGGGTCTATGAAAGCATTCAAGGTTTGGCAAATATTTCTCTATATACAACATCCATTCAGATACTAAACAAATGAAGTGGAGGAATATTTTCATATGAAAAAAGTACATTACTTCACTTAAGAAATATCTGGATGAAAGTCAATTATTGACAATCATACTAAATCCTAAAGCCTCCAAAATCTCTAGTTAAAATACTGTACAAATGTGTGTACAACTTGATTCAAATACATACATTTGAACATGAAAGTATCCAATAGCTAAACTGTACAATGTATTGACTGAAGCAAAGCCATATTGTTAATTTGTACTTTCAGAACAGAAAAGCCTATATGTATATAAAATCATTTCCAGGTTGCAGACTCAAGAATATTTGAACACTGAAATGAGACATTGACATATAATCAGTATTTTAAAAGAAAAACTGCAGCTAACAATTCCTAACAAATGATAATACAAACTGGACACTCCTATTACAAAAACTAAGAGGAAACTTCAATTTTCAGTAGTGAAACTCAGTAAGAAACAGATAAAATGGTGTATAGTGAAGCATGGTTAGCATTCACTATGTAACATGGTCTTAAAATCATTAAAGATTAGAATCAATTAGAGAAATCAGTTAGTCATTTACATCCTGATTGTCAAGGCCCCTACCACTTCTTCCACTAGGAGTGTCTCAGAGAACTGGAAAAACAAAGCTCAATCATACACTCCTATTTTTAGTAGTCCTCATATAAGACTGGCAGGTAGGGAGTGAATATCTTAAGTAAAGTTTTTCAATTATTTTTAACTGAGTCAATGTTTGTAAAGAACTTAGACCAGGCCCTGGCTCACAGTAAGAGCTTTGTGTTTATTAAATAAAATAAATGAGTAAGTTTATACTTATCTTCTAAACAGAGATACCTGGGAATAATGTGAAACTTGTAGTTCATTCATTACACGTGGCATTTTGTTATGCATGAACTTTTTATTTAAAACTAGATTTCCCCCTTTCCCCCCAAATCTATGTGTCTTCACTTTTATAAAAATAAATTTCTAAGGAAGAGTCTTCATTTTTGAAAGGGAGTAAGAAAGCTCTAATTTCCCCTATAAACCTTAAAAAAAAATGACAATGACGTAACCATGTCCTGTAAATCTGAATTATGCACACATTAAAAAACAAATATTCTTACCTTTCCAAGATTTTCCTGTTCAGCAATATTTTTGGTATATTGTTCCCTGGGGAGTCAATATAATGATATAGTTTACATTTAGTTCAATTGATTTGATCATACAACTAAATTATAAATCAACATATCTATCTAAATATATTAGATAATACAGTTTAGAGTACTAGAATCAGAATGAAACCCATTATCAAACACTCCCTTTTCTAATCTTTAGTCAGTTCATCTAATACACAATAATATAAGTAAAAAAAACAAGGCAAAATATCAGGTAAGAAATTAAGTACTATTTCCAGTTAATCTATACTTAAAACAATAGCAATATATTTGCTTAAATTACCGTTTTTTGGAAAAGGCTTGCAGAAAAGAGAGAGGACACACATTAAAAAAAACAAACAAACAATAAATATCATCTAACCCTGCAATCCAACTTCTATGAAGCCTTCCTACAGAAAAACTCTTAAAACTTAATAAAAATAAAAGCAAAGACTATTCACTTCACCATTGCTTACAGTAGTAAAAATCTACAACCAACTAAATGTTGATAGATGGGGAAATGTTTAAATAAATTATGCTATATCCATTCAAAGGAATAATACAGAGCTGTGAAAAAGAGAATGAGGTAGATTTATAAATACTAAACTAGACAGAATTCTAGATAAATAAGGTATGGCAATGTAGACAACATTTAATTTTTGTGCACTATACTTGATAATGGTTACTTTTTGTTTTTATAAATATTTCTTTTGTAAGCTAAAAAATTTTAAATTTTTAACATAAAAATAAATATTTTTTTATATTTTTATAAATATATATTATATATATTATATATTTATAAATATATATTTATATTGTATTTTTAAACAAAAGTATAATTATATTTTAAGACAAAAAGTGAGATTTAAAGTGTTAAGGACGAAGACTGAAGAACGAGGACAACAGAACCAACGATAAGAAGAGAAACTTTGGACCTCAAATTTGTATGGAAAAAGACTATATTTCTGTGAAAAGCTACACAGCAGTACTTAAGAAATTACATAACACAAAATTGGGAATCTAAGAAATCATAAACCACAAAGACAAACTCTAGCAGCTTAAGTGAAGAAAGATTTGCATTTGTGTAAAAAAGGGAGGTTAATGTCTTTAAACAGAAAGAATGGCAATCAGAAGTACCCGAAGTCCTTACAGAGATGAAGTGAAGGTAGAATTTGTGCACAAGAATAATAGCAAAAGGGAACAGACCCAGTCTGGATGAATCTTCATTTTGCCCATAAAATTGTTGAGACACTAAGTTAATGTTATTTGCCTTTCTAGCTCTCCAGTGAAAAACAGCTCAGAGGATATAAATGACATATTACTCAGAATAATGTATGGTTATAATTAAGAGAACTTTAAATAATTCATTTATTACCCCAGGTCTGAGGAATGTCCAAATTGTTTTAGGATTTCCATTCCTATTTTATCAAGAAATCAATAGGCGCATGCTCATAACACTAACATGTAATTTTATTCAATTGATTTAGTCAAGTAGTAATTACAGATCGCCTGTTCTATACCAAGCATGCCCTGGGATTTCAAGAAGAAAACAGGGCCAAACAGGGTCCTCACTCTTCAGGAACTCATACTGTATCATTTTCAAAATACTGCTGCAAACATTACGTTGAACTTGAGCTCCCGAGGCATATATTGTTCTCTTTATTTTATAGATGAAAAAGTGATTTATCCAAGGTCACAAAACTAGGAACTGGAAAAATCACGTTAGAAACAAAATTTTATTGAGTCCCTTTCTAGTACTTTGATATATAACATGCTGCCTCTTTAAATAAAATTACATTTTACAGGTGATCTTTCAAAAACAAGCTAATTTCTTAGACCTTTGGCCTTACCAGAAAGTACCATAAAAATAGAAAATGAAATGACATAAAAATTATTGTGTCTATACTAGTAATAAATTTTAAATATGTATCAGTGAGTTTAGAGTATAACTCCATTTTATTCCTAAATATTCTTACCATGTACTTCTCTAGTCAGGGTGCAATATTTTTCTATTGGAAAACTGAGGAATGGTAAAGATTTACAATGATTTTTAAAATAATGGAGACTTCCTTGGAAGTCCAGTGGTTAAGACTTCTCACTCCCAACGCAGGGGGCACTGGTGCCATCCCTAGTTGGGAAACTAAGATCCCACGTGGTGCACAGTGTGGCCAAAAAATAAATAAATAAAAACGATGAAGAGGAATATCTATCTAGAAAACAGATCAGAAAACCAATAGCTCAGGAGCAATGTTTCCTTCTTTACTAATTATATTGATAACTTTGGAAGAAAAAAAAACAATTTCTACAACTTTTATTTTTCAAGAACAAAATTAACTTCTTACATTAGTGAACATTAGGTATTAACTATATAGATTTAATGAGCAAAATTTACATGCAATAAAAGAATTTGAATAAATACATTCAGTATGTTTAATATGCTAGGGTATTACAAATAAAATCCTATTTATAGAATATTTTCAGCCTGGCTTGCATTATATTAAAAAATTTAGACTCTGCAAAACATTCTATTTCTTAGAGTCCTCTTTATAATATCAATGTACTGTTGTTGTTCAGTTGCTAAGACACGTCGGACCCTTTGTGACCCCATGCATTGCAGAGTGCCAGGTTTTCCCATCTTTCACTATCTCCTTGAGTTTGCTCAAACTCAGGTCTATTGAATCATAAATATCAATGTATAAGCTACTAAAAATCTCAACTGCAATCTTGAATAAATGTAGATTCTACACTTCATTTGAGTTCTTATTGAATGGTAAAAGCAAAACATTTGAATTGTGATAAAGGGCAAAGAAAATTTATCTTGTTCACTACTGCATTTTTTTCAAAGCTAGCAATTCAACTATAAACGTATTTTTAAGGCAGCATTTATTATGTTATAGTATGCTAGGATTACAAAAAGAAAAAATCACCATATAAGGACTAGTAGTATTTATACATTCTTTGTTTCAAAGGCTGACACTCTGCAATCACAGAATTTCTAGCTGAAGTGCAGCTGCTCACAATGAGCTCACAATGAGCTGCAACAATGAGCACACCAATGACCAGAGTCCAGACCATGTGGGACTTTAAAAATAGATTAAATTTAGTGCTTATAAAAAAGCAACTATGAAATTATATGTAATCCTACATGCATACATACTCAGTTGTGTCTGACTCTTTGTGACCCCATGGACTACAGCCTTCCAGGTTCCTCTGTCCATGGAATTTTCCAGGTAAGAACACTGGAGTGGGTTGTCATTTCCTACTCCAAGGGATCTTCCCAACCCAGGGATCGAACCTGAGTCTATTGTGTCCCCTGCATTAGCAGGCAGATTGTTTACCACTGCACCACCTGGGAAGCCCATATCTATCCCTGAGGAGGGAGTAATGGGGATTAAGTGGCTTAATGGCTATAAGAGTTTCTGTTTCAGGTGATGAAAATGTTTTGGTAATATATAGTGGTGATGGTTGCATAATATTTTGAATGTAATGAATACAACTGATTATACACTTAAAAATGGTTAAAATGGCAAATTTTATGTTATATGTCTTTTGCCACAATAAAAAGTAAGCAAGCAAACAAGAAAAATTATATGTATTCTTACTTAGTCAGGAGGGCTGGAGTAGCCAGAGGATGTTCAACAAGATTTAATTCTAAATAATATCTTACTATTTGCTTATTTAGGTACTCTGTATAATTCCATCTTATCTTCTATAGATGAAAACATTAAGTAACTCAATATAAAAACAACAAAATTACTTGCCTAATTGCTTTTCTTTTTTCTTGTTGATCAGAGGAGACATATGCCTTCATTTCATCAGTAGCACGACGAAGTTGTACTTCTAGGTTCTAAGTGGAAAGACTATGTTTTAGGCTAAGTCCTTGATACAGAAAAACATCAGAAAAGTTTCTGATCCAATTTTCTTTGTCTTACCTTAATCATACAATTTGTATAATGGTATCTACTTTCTTCTTGAAGACACTCCTCACGGAGCCCTCTGACTTCCTAAAACATAATTTTAAATGCGCAATATTATTGGAAGAATAACTAGATACAGAAAGGATAACCAAATGTACAACAAAAGAAATACTATCAGAGTATTTCCTCTTCTGTGCCAAAACTTTATTGTATCAGTCTAGGTTGCAATCTTTTCTAGACACCATGCATATCACTCTACAACCTATAAGTTCAATTATTTATTAAGTAACTACTGTGTGCCAAGCTAGGTGCTGGGGACAGAGAAGTGAACAAGACAGGTCCCTGCTCTCATGCAAGTAGAGGAGACAGATATAAACAAGGAAATGTGTAATGAAGGCAGTTTCAGATGGGGTAAGTGCTATGAAGAAAATTCTGCAGTACAATGTGATAGGGGTATTGAGTGGGTAAAGTTAGACAGGTGATTAGAGAAGACCTCTAGGAGGCGGTAACATTTAGGCTGAGACCTAAAATGGTGAAAGAAAAGGAGAGAGAAAGGCAAATAGCTGGCAGTAGAGTATCCCAGAGTGAGAAGAATATATGAAAATCTGCCCCTGAGGAGAAAACAAGCTTGGCCTGTTTGAAGTACAAGAAGAAAGCTAGTATATCTGGGGTCTGTGGGTGAGGAGGAGAGCATGTGGATATGAAGTTCATGGAGCAGGTAGGGTCTTGAAAACCAAAGTTTTGAAGTTAGATTTTAAGTGCAACAGGAAGCCGTTAGAAGGTGGTTTAAGTGTTTTACCAATTTCTCTGGCTGCTCTATGGAGAATAAGCCTCAGAAAGGCAAGTGTGGAAGGGGAGAGGAGGTTGTAGGTTACTGTGGTAGTCAAGGAAAGACATGATGGGGCCTTGACTCTGGCAGTAGGGGTGCAGATGGAGAATTTAGGGTGTGTACATCAAGAAAGAAATAAAAATAGAAATAAAATAGAAATAGAAATCTCTGCAGCTTGGTAGACAGACTCAAGGCATGAAGGTAAAGATCTGGGAATCTTTTGACATTGGTGTAGTGAAAACATGCATACAAAGTCAGTTTCTACTAGGTTGTTAAAATAAGAACTATCTTCTTACCTGCTCTAATTTGGACCGATTGCTTTCAAGGCCTGCAGCACAGCTATCATACTGGGATTTCTTTTCATCACACTCTTGGGTTAATTCCTAGTATGAAAAGGGTGATTGATTGAATAAATAAAAAAACAAAGGCTTAAAAGGTGACTCTGAAACAATACATGCCCTTGTCAGTCTTGTAACTTAACTCTAAGCTTCTTGGCATACTAACGAGTTATTTATACAACAACCAGATATTTGAGCATTATGACAGATGAAGGTGCTGATAAAAAGAATAGCTGCCATGTATTTAGCTGGGTGCCAGACTCTCTGTTAGAAGCTGGGGATACAAGAGTGAACAAAGAGTCAAAAATCCTTCCTCTCAAGTAATGCTCAGACAAGTAAACAGGCTGAGTGCTACGAGAGACAAATGCAAGGTGTTACAGGAGCACATGCGACTCTCACTGGACTTAACTCAGGCTCGGGGATCAGTAGGGACAACTTCCTGGAGAAACTGATATCTAAGCTGAGGTACAAAGGATTAGTAAGAATAGTCAGAAGGGACAGACAAGGAGGAGAATGTTCAGAAAAAAGGAACACTATGTATGAAGTCTTGGAAGATTAGAGAGATGAAGGACAATTTAGGATGTGTAAGTAATTTATTATACTGGAGCACGTCTGGGAAGTGTGACAAGAAGGGGCTGAAGACTCTGGCAGAGGCCTGACCAGAACTCTGTAAACCACGTTAAGGGTGTCTGAGCTTTACCCTTGACAATAACTAAATCTCACAACCACCCCCTAAGGTGTATACTAATGTTCCCACATTGTGCTTAGAGAAAGTTCACAGAGGACAAGTATCTTGCAAAAGATTATATGGCTGGAAAGAGGTGTTAGAATTTGAACTCAGGCTGTTTGAGTAGTTTCACACTTTTTTCTAATGTAATATTTTGAAGCAGATAATCTGAAAATTTGCTACCAACACCTAGAAACGCTAAAAGGATCAACAAATGCTTGATAAGGTAGGGTAAGCACCCTTTCAAATTGAGAGCTAACTGAACTCTCAAAGAAGTAAAACAAATTAGCAGAGTTAGAAACAAAGGATAACAGCCTGTGGATACCCCTGGTGGAGGGAGTTGGGAGTCAATCTTGATAATAGAATGATTAGAATGGCTAGGCAAGGCAAAAGACCTTGAAATCTGTGAGTAAAGGGTTAACACCAGGCCAGCCTGGGAATGACCTTGGTTTTACATAGCACAGTTTCCTTGGGAACAAGAGAGTTAACATAACTGGGTAATGTTGTGTGGTGCTTCCATTGCTGGATGGGACTGCATCTGGGTTGGGGTGACCAGCAAAGTATAAAAGATGGGTGGGAAAAAGATGCCATGGCTTTTATGTATCAAAGTGACCTACAGACATCTGAGGCGCTTGTGGTTGACAGTCACATACACCCCAAATAGGAGAAGGGGCAATAGAGGCTATGTACTTGGGTAGCTGCTGGGCCTGTAAATGAGATGGAGATACTATAGTAGATGAAGGACTTTTTTTGTCTGTGAGTCTGATGGACAAACCGATCAGTAAATGCAGCTATGTTGCTCCATCCTAGCTGCCAGGATTCAAGAGATAAAACCCTACTAAAGATAAGCTCACAATCCAAAACTATAAATATGCAGGGAATAATCACTCCATTATGAGTGAGAATTAGAAGATATAAAACAGCAGGAGTATACCTCCTCTAGCAGAAGAATTGGAGAAGGCAATGGCACCCTACTCCAGTACTCTTGCCTGGAAAATCCATGGACGGAGGAGCCTAGTAGGCTGCAGTCCATGGGGTCGCTAAGACTCTGACAGGACTGAGCGACTTCACTTTCACTTTTCACTTTCATACATTGGAGAAGGAAATGGCAACCCACTCCAGTGTTCTTGCCTGGAGAATCCCAGGGATGGGGGAGCCTGGTGGGCTGCCGTCTATGGTGTTGCACAGAGTTGGACACGACTGAAGCGACTTAGCAGCAGCAGCAGCAGGAAATACTAGAAATAAATCTATTAAATAAGTATACTCAATACTTTACTAAAGGAGGAACTGAAAACAAAAGACTGAAAAAGGTACAGTGAGTAAAAAAACCGACAAAAATGAAAAAGAAGTCACTGAAATTAAAAACTAAGTAGGCAACACAAATATAAGATTAGTTCAGGAGATAAAAGAATGAATTAGAAAACAGAGCTGAAGAAATTATCAAAAATTCATCACAAAGAGACAAAGAGATGAAAATATGAAAATGAGGTTAAACAACAGAGAACAGAATAAATACAACTAACATATATCTAACAGAATGGCTGAAGAACAGACTAGAAAGACCAGAGGAGAGAATATTTGAAGACATGTAGAATATGTCCAGAATTAATGAGAGACAAAAAGCATGAATTCTAGCTGAGCAAATAACACTAAATCTAAACTTAGATCATGTCAGTGAAATGGGACAACACCAAAGACAAAGATAAAAATACTAAAACTATCTGTAGATTCCAGGGAATCCCTATCAAAATACCAATGGTACTTTTCACAGAACTAGAACAAATAATTATAAAACTTGTATGGAAACACAAAAGACCCTGAGTAGCCAAAGCAATCTTCAGAAAGTAGAAGAGAGCTGGAGGTACAACATGCCCTGACCTCAGACTATACTACAAAACTACAGTAATCAAAACAGTGTGATGTCGGCAACAAGAAGAGACACACAGATCAATGGAACAGGAAAAAAAATGCAGAAATAAGCCCACACACTTATGGTCAACTAATCTATGACAAAGGAAACAAGAATATACAATTGAGAAAAGACAGTCTCTTCAATAAGCGGTGCTGGGAAAACTGGACAACTACATGTAAAAGAATGAAATTAGAACATTTTCTCACACCATGTACAAAAATAAACTCAAAATGGATTAAAGACCTAAATGTAAGAAATCATAAAACTTAGAGAACATAGGTAGAACACTTTCTGACATGAATAAATCATAGCAATATTTTTTGGATCTGTCTCCTCAAACAGTTAAAAAATAGAAGACCTGAAGAGTCAGGTTTTTTCCAAAGACATACAGATGGTCAACAAGCACATGAAAAGATGCTCATCATCATTAACCATCAGAGAAATACAAATCAAAACCACAATGAGGTATCACCTTACACCTGTCAGAATGACTATCACCAAAAGAGACCACAAATAATTTGTTATTCATGAGAATGTGGAGAAAAGGGAACCCTTGTACAGATTCGGTGAGAATGTAAATTGATGCAGCTACCATGGAAAATAGTGTGGAGGTTCCTCAAAAACCTAAAAACAGAACCACCATATGATCCAGCAACTCCATTTCTGAGTATATATCCAAAGAAAACCAAAACATTAATTTGAAAAGATACATGCACGCCAATGTTCACAGCGGTATTATTTACAATAGCCAAGATATGCAAGCAACCAAAAAGTCCATCAAGAGAAGAATGGAAAAAGAAGATGTGAGATACACACACACACTATGGAATGCTACTCAGTCATTAAAAAGAAAGAAATTTTGCCATTTACAACATGGATGAACCTGGAAGGTATTATGCTTAGTGAAATAAGTCAAAAAGAGAAAGACAAACACTATATGATACTACTTATATGTGGAGTCTAAAACCAACTAGTGAATATAACAACAAAAATTAAAACCAATTATAGGGAAGACATTATCTAAAAAGAAATGAGAATTAAATCAATAGCATATCCTTTAACACGACAAGAGAAAAGAGAAAGCAATGAAAATAGTTTTTTTCTGACCAAGTGACTATTGAAGAGGAAAAACAAAGATGGTTTACTTTTGGCAATGATTCTTTACTGAGAGAACTACTAAAAGAAAACAAAACAAGGAAATTTCATTTCAGGAAGAAGGAAACTGAATCAGAAGTAAGGAATAAAGTACATGAGGCAATGGTAAGAACTGCTAAATATATGGGTAAATCTAAATAGGAAATGACTGTATGAAGCAGTAATTATTGTAACAGTAATGACCACCATGACAACCACTTTTAGAGTTGAAGAAATAAAGTGGAAATTAAATGCCAGAGGATAAGAACACATGTGTAAGGCAAGAGAGGGTATGAAATCATTCTGAGGCCCTTGTATTGTTCAGGAGATTAACAACTGTTCAGCTGATTAACTTGAGGCAAGAAAAATGCACTAAAAATGTAAGAGTAAACAATATCAGAGCAGGAGTAGAAAAGGAAATAAAGGGAAAAAAGAAGATAAAGAAAACAGGATTGGTACAATGGAAAGTAGAAAAAGAAAAAGAAACATAGGAAAAGCGCAGTCAATAGGATGTGCAAAACAGAAATAAATTCCAATGTATCAATAATAAGAGAAAATATAAATGGGACTAAACTCACTAATTAAAAGACAAGTTCTCAAACTGGATATAAGAAAATATATCTACACAAAATCCAACTATATGATATTCAAGAGACTTATATAGGACAAAAATAAGGATGCAGACAGCTGAAAGTAAAGAAAGACATACCAAGCAATACTAAACATAAGAAAGCTGGCACACTTATATTAATAGCAAACAAAATAAGACCCTTAGACAAAAAAGCACTTCAAGGAATAAAGAGTCATAAAATAATGATAAAATGAATAATTTACCAAGAAGTGTTCTGTTTTTTTAAACCAGAAATCTTTTTCTAAATTGTGGTAAAATACACATAATCTAAAACTTAATTAACTATTTTAACTATTTTTAAGGCTGCAGTTCAGAAGTATTAAAACATTCACATTATTGTACAACCAATCTCAACTCTTTTTATCTTGCAAAACTTAACCTCTACACCCATTACACCAAAAGTCCCCATTCACCAGGAATTTTTGAACAGCACATTCAAGAACCTTGATCTGATAAACACACAGAGAACCCAGTACTCAACAACTGGAAAACATATTCTTTTCCAGATCAAGTCATTAAAAAAATTATGTTAGCCTCAGCTCTCTCCATGGTCAGCCTTAACTCCTGAAAACTGTGGAGCTACTCTTTAAAAATCCTCAAGGAAATAAAGCATGATGTAATGATTTTTATGCCCAATCAAG